GCATGGGTCGGGTAGTGCACACGTAGGGTACGACTTAGAATTGACTAGTGCGCTTTAGGTAAATAACTTAAAGATAGTAATCGGGTAGCAGGAGATGATAGTTTGTGCCCGCTGAATAATATGAGTAACACCCCACCTTGAGGGAGTTACGAAGTATTATTTATATTGCACGGGGTGATTCTTTAGGCTAAAAAACTTAGGACCCCCCCATCTTTGTTTTAAAATCAATCATTTTATATATTTGTCCTTTCTCTTAGACTAATTCATATAATTCAAGTTCGGCCGAGAACCACCGTTGTGGACCTCGAGGAGTGCCTAACACCTTCTCCTCAAGGTAAATTTGAGCCCTTACCCGATCTTTGGTGACGCAAGTAGTTAATCCAGAGTTATCTGCAAATAGGTGCTCTAACGCACCTTAAAAGTCGTTAGGTGGCGACTCTTCTCTTTTAAAACCCTTCCTTAAAAGAGTTGTCAATGTCGAAACCCGATTTTGCGAGAAAAAGGGGCGCGACAGCATGGCGACTCTGCTGGGGATATTTTTAGGCTCTTACCATTGCGAACTTGGTCCTACATGATTTAGTCTCTCCCGATAAGTGTGTCTTTATTATTTTGCTGTTACTTGAATATCCCGCTCCCAATTTCCCCTTTTATTGCTACATGCATATCCTCTTCCCTATTTCCCTTTTATATGAACTCATATGCAACTCTTTTCTTAATTTTATTACAATGTGTGTTTCCCCTTATTCCCTAATCATGTTCACTTGCTCCAAACTTTTTAATTTTGCTATATCATATCTCTCCCCAATCCTTACCCCTTTATTTCTTTTATTACAATTTTTTCATTACGCGAACTAACTTCTTCCTTGTTTTTCTTTCTTTTTATGTCTTTACGTTTCATTCAATACTACATTTACTGCTTTCAACATGCAAAAATACTTGACAACGTGTTATTTTATCTTTGCATATAGCATGCTCCACATCATATTCCAATTAACACCATAACGGCACTTGATGAGTGTCCGCGCTCTTCCTAAATCACCCTTTAAATTTGGAAAGGCTTATTCGCGGTAAAACTAGTCGATCAGCGGTGCAATCGATGCTTCTGTGCCTTTCCCTATCAAGTTGTCCGCTTGAGGGTACCAGTCTAGACTCTTATAGAAACCCCACTCTGATGTTAACTGTGCATGCATCATGTCTAAGCCTAGTACGGGTTAAAACTCTATCCGCGTAACAACTCGCTAAGAAAAGCCTTGTCCAAAGTCCGCCGGGATTTCCATAATCCCAATGGGCACAATCATGTTATGTGCATTATTTGGAGATAACGTGCCGATATTCTAATCATTAATGTGTAAATAGTCGAATCTGGAGAGGGAAAGGGCTTACTTTATCTATTTTGCAGAAATGAGGCACGAAGTCTCCAGGTTCGGCATGGTTCGAAGTATCCCACCTTTGTTGCTGGATTGGTGGGAAAATCTCTCGCCAAGCGAAAAAAAACCATGTGAAAAGAGTTCTTGGGAATTTACCTTCTTTGCTGGACATTCAGCCAAACAATGCACTGATCGAGGCCGCTACTATGTTCTGGGATGCAAAGAGGGCTGTTTTCCATTTCGGTGATATAGAAATGACTCCTCTTCTAAAGGAAATAGGGGGCTTTGCTGGACTTCCCTGGGATAGCCCCGGTCTATTTGTACCCGAAAACTGCACTTCTCGAGGGTTTCTGAAAATGATCGGTTTTAGAAGGAATGATGAGTTAGTCTACCTGAAGAAGTCTTATATACCCTTCGACTTCCTTTACGAACTTTATGGGCACAACAAATCCTACCGCCTTTACCATGACGAGTTTGTTGTTACTTCTTTGGGTTGGATCCACCACCGGGTTTTGATGTTCATTGTCTTTTTTCTAGGGATGCTGGTATTCCCAATGCAAGGAGAAAGGATTCACACTCGCTTAGCTATGGTTACCAAGACCCTAATGGAAGGAATTGAGGGACATACCTACACTATTGTCCCAATGATCGTAGCAGAGATATACCGAGCTTTGGACCGCTGCGAGAAAGGATATAGGCATTTTGAGGGTTGTAATTTGCTACTACAAATATGGCTGTTGGAACATCTTCAAAGGGGACAATACCGGCAAGAATTTCCGCGGCGACCATGGAATGAACACATAACTTTTCACCACCCGAAAAGAATGACTTTTATCCCGGATAGGTTTGCATAACCAGGAAACGCTGTAGGCTGGGTACACTTCTTTAGCAATTTGACTGACGACAAGGTTCATTGGATGTTCGAATGGTTCCCTACTAGCGAATTCATCATCAGGTCAAGAGATGTTCCTCATCTAGTGCTAATCAGATTAAGGGGTATCTATCCTTATGCTCCTATCAGACTCATGAGGCAAGCTGGGAGGAAACAAGTCATACCCCGAGTTTCCAAGATGGTTCACTACAAAGCAGATTTCCAAGGTGATGCTATTCCATTCAAGTACGAGGCACAACACATGTGGCATCTGAAAATCATTGTGGAAAAGGATACCATCGAGCTAGATCACTACCATGCCTGCCATGTGTGTTTCTACCCACATGGTTGGTCGATGACATAGCAGGAGAAGTCAAGCCGGGGATTGATTTGGGAAATAGGATCATAGACGACGCTGTCGAGGCACAAGTCAAATATAGGAGTTTACGCAAGAGGGTTTTTGAATCTGAGGCCAGACATTTGGAACAACACAAAGTAGACATGGAAGCAATCAATGAATGGAGAGGAATCACTCCCAAATCAACAGAGAGGTTGGAGTATTTAGAGCAGGGTCTGAAGGAGCTTGAGGGGAAGATGAGGAAAAGGATCGTGGCTTGTCAGAATCCAGAGGTTAATGAAGGAGGACATCTAGCAAGGGTGTATCTGCTGCTGGACATGTGCTACCTGGGGAATCTGATCGATGGGCCTAAGAACGCCAAGCTTGGAGAAGGTCCCTCTAGGACCAAGTAGATTAGAATTGATCGATGGGTATAATGTTAATGGGTGTTTAAGATATATATATATATATATATATATATATATATATATATATATATATATATATATATATATATATATATATATATATATAATGGTTGGTTGATATTTATTCAATTCTTGTTCTTTATTTATGGTTGGTGGTTGCAAACATTAATCTATTCCATTTTACTCTTTCTTTACTTGGAAAAGTGGGTTAGGGTTTGGTAGAATTGAATATCAAGAACTCAAGACTTTAAATCTTAATAGAATCACTTAGGAATAAGTGGGTTCTACTTGGCATAAATTGGTTGTTATTAAATTGCAACTCTTTTATATTTGGAAAAATCATAAAGAGAAAATACTACTCAACTATTGGAAAATATTGGGTAGTCATTTAGGAACCATTCGCATATCAAAAGGACCTTTCATTAGAAATATATCATATTAACACCGATAGCATTACATTTCATTGATGGAGACACAACCTTGGTTTCCTTAATCAAATTATTCACATTCTCATAATAAAATTAGTTATCTTCTCAATTCACAACTATATCATTCGCTTGTTACGTTAAAGGAACAGAATTACGACCTAAGTCAAGTTTCACACTACTCAAGTAACCTTTTCACGCCTATTCCCTGTGGGATTCGATCCCAACCTTGTTGGTTTACTATATTTGACACCGACCGCCTTACACTATTTAATTAAAGTGTAATTTGAGCGTATCTAATTTTGGCGCCATTGCCGGGAAATGCGATTTTGAAATTACTAATTAGTGTGTGCTTTACTTTACATCTTCTTCTATTCCATCACCACTTTGCTTGTTTTGCTTGGTGTTGAAAGGAAAACATGGCCGAATATGAGGACGAAGAAAATCCTTCTGCAGACATAGATGAGTACATTGAGGATACAAATGCTATTGTACCTCCGAGAGTTGACACTGCCACATTCAAGGTGGAACACGGTTTAATCCTAATGCTCAAAGCAGAGGGGTTTTTCAGGAATTCCACCGATGATGATCCGACATAACATCTCAGAAACTTCTTGGGTGTGTGTGTGATGCACAAGCAGAACAACGTCTCAGATGATGCCCTAAGATTGAGGGTGTTCAAGTACTCACTGGCTGGAGAGGCGAGGAAATGGATTCAAAATTTACCACCAAACTCAATCCATTCTTGGCCTGAACTTGTTTGAGCATTCTTAGCTAAATGGTCCCGACAAAGCAAGAAATCTGAGCTCCGGGATAAAATTTTCTTTTTCAAGCACTACCAGGAGAACATCTACATGAGGCATGGGATCGATTCAAGTTATATTTGGTGAGGTCGCAGAATCATGGTTTTCCGGATTCTATCTTGTAGGAGAAAATCTACATGGGTTTGGATGCCATGAACCAATCTATAGCCAGAATGCAACTGATGGATCTTTCATGGATAAGATATTTGCAAGGATCACACAAATCTTTGACAAAATGGCAAAACATAACCAAGCTTGGCACGCAGAGGACACCACAGGTGGAATTCCTTATGGTACTCCTTCCTTGACCAACATGATTAAGGAGAACCAAGACAGAGATCAAGTAATTGCCGGGCTTGCCACCAACGTCAATGTGTTGAAAAAGATGTTCACTAAAAGCCAAACGAAAAAGGTATATGTAGTGGAAGATGTTCAACCCACATCAAATGAAGATTATGAGGAAGCAAATTATGTCAACAACTCTCAAGGAGGTTATCAAAGGCAACAATACCAAGGTTCATGACAACAAAACCAATGGAGGCCTAACCCGCAAGGGCAAGGCAACCAACAATGGCGAAATGACCAAGGTAGTTCAAATCAAGGGAATTCGAGTAACAACAACAACAACTTTTCAAACCGGAGTTCAAACCCTTATGTTCCACCAAACGGGCAATATTCAAATCAAGGTTCCTCAAGTGACTCCAAGTTGGAAAACATGCTTGAGCAGGTATTGCAAAATCAAGATAGGTCCGACACTTCAATGAGGAATATGACCGAGCTTGTCGGCTCTCATACCGCATCTATTCAAAAATTGGAGATGCAAATGAGAGACATCTCACGAGAGCAAAATCCAAAGCAAAAGGGGACACTCCCAAGTGACACAATTGCGAACCCAAAGGGTAGCGGGAGTGGCCCAACTTCTCGTTGCATGGAAATTACTACCTGGAGTGGGAAAGTACTTCAAGGAGAGAGTGAACAAGTGGTTGAAGTGGAAGATTCTGAACAAGAAGTTGAGGCACACGTTGAATTCCCAATTGTTGTTGAAGCTAAAAAGGTCCTGGAAGAGCTGAAAGTTCAAGAAGTGAACCGAGAAGAGGTTACGAAAAAGGTGAAAGAGACGCCAAAAACTCTAGCACCACTTCCTAGACCTCCTCCTCCTTCCCTCAAAGACTTGCGAGGAGATTTGATGATAGCAAACTCAAGAAGTTCTATGACATTCTCAAGCAATTATCGGTAAATATTCCATTTGTGGAAGCATTTCAAGAGATGCCGGGTTTTGCTAACTATTTGAAAGACTTGATCACCAAGAAGAAAACTACCAAGAATGAAGTGGTGAATGTGACTCACGGGGTTAGTTACATCATTGCAACAACCACCATTCAAAATAAAGAAGACCCGGGAGCTTTTACCATTCCATGCACTATTGGGGCACGCGATTTTGCAAGAGCTCTTTGTGATAATGGGGCTAGCATAAATTTAATGCCTCTTGCTATTTACAAGTTAGTGGGCTTAGGTATGCCAAGGCCTACAAGTATGAGGTTGCAGATGGCCGATCGTTCAATAAAGAGACCGGTGGGAATTGTTGATGATGTGCTTGTGAAAGTGGGACAGTTCCTCCTCCCCGCCGACTTTGTGATCCTTGATTGTGCTGTTGACAAAGAGATCCCTATCATCTTGGGGAGACCATTTCTTGCTACCGGAAGAGCACTTATGGATTCAGAATGAAATGAGATCAAGTTCCGAGTCAATGATGAAGAGGTCACATTCCAAGCGATCAAGGGTATGAAGTTTCCAAATGCATATGAAAGCATCTCAGTCATCGATGTTCCCGATGAGTTAGAGGATGCAATTGAAATGAAGACTGAAGAACAATGCCTTGGTGAGGCATTGGCAACTATTTTGGTAAATGTTGATGGTGAAGATATGGAGGGGTACATGGAATCGGTGAATGCATTAGAAGGACTTGGGTCCTACACTTATGCTCCAAAGAAACTTTCTCTTGATATGGACAATAGAGTCACTCCTCTTGCCAAGCCGTCAATTATTGAGCCGCTGCAACTTGAGCTCAAACCACTTCCACCGCACTTGAGGTATAAATTTCTTGGCTCTAATGACACTCTACCGGTAATCGTTTCTTCTTTGTTGAACGATGTGCAGGTAGAACAATTGTTTAATGTCTTGACGGAGCATAGGCAAGCTATCGGGTGGACAATAACGGACATCCGAGGGATTCCCGCCGGAATTTGCTAACACAAGATACAATTGGAGCAAGAGAGTAAACCAAGTGTGGAACATCAACGAAGGTTAAACCCTTCCATGCAAGAGGTGGTAAAGAAAGAAATCATCAAGTGGTTAGATGCCGGGGTAGTCTACCCCATTGCCGATAGTTCTTGGGTGAGTTCGGTGCTATGTGTGCCAAAGAAATGAGGCATGACCGTGATTGAAAACAACATAAATGAGCTCATCCCAATGAGAACAGTGACCGGATGGAGAGTTTGCATGGACTACCGGAAGCTAAATAGTGCTACGTGCAAGGACCATTTCCCTATGCCTTTTATTGATCAAATGCTTGATCGGCTAGCGGGAAGGTCATTCCGGCTATAACCAAATCAATATCGCATTGGAAGATCAAGAGAAGACGAAATTCACATGCCCATATGGGACGTTTTCTTTTAGCCGTATGCCATTTCGGCTATGTAACGCTACGGCTACTTTCCAACGATGCATGATGTCAATCTTCTCGGACATGGTGGAAGATTTCTTAGAGGTTTTTATGGAGGACTTCTCTGTAGTGGGTGATTCCTTTGAGCATTTTCTTGACAACCTTAGGCAAATGCTCAAACAATGTGAAGAAACAAACCTTGTGCTAAATTGGGAGAAATGCCACTTCATGGTGGACGAGGGCATTGTTTGGGCCACGAAATTTCCAAACACGGCATAGAGATTGACCGGGCAAAGATCGAGATCATTTCCAAGCTTCCTCTACCTACTTCAGTAAAAGGTGTCCGAAGTTTTTTGGGGCACGCCGGTTTCTATAGGCATTTTATCAAGGACTTCTCCAAAATTGCAAATCCCATGTGCAAACTCCTTGAAAAAGATGCAAAGTTCATATTTGATGAGAAGTGTCTCAAGGCCTTTGAGGAAATGAAAGAAAAGCTCACCACGACACCTATTATTGTCACACCCAATTGGTCTCTTCCATTCGAACTCATGTGTGACGCTAGTGGTGTAGCTATTGGGGCGGTGCTTGGCCAACGTCACAACCAGATCCTTCACCCTGTCTACTATGCAAGCAAGACACTTAATGGCGCCCAAATAAATTACACTGTGACTGAGCAAGAACTTCTCGCGATTGTCTATGCTTTTGAAAAGTTTCAGGCTTATTTGTTGGGGTCCAAAGTGATAGTTTACACTGATCATGCTGCTCTTCGTTATCTTATGGCGAAGAAGGATGCCAAACCAAGATTGATTTGGTGGGTCCTTTTGTTGTAAGAATTTGACTTTGAAGTCAAGGATCGGAAAGGGACAGAAAATCAAGTTGCGGATCACCTATCTAGGCTTGAGGAGGCAGGGAGACCAAAAGAATACCTTGAGATCAATGATGCTTTTCCGGATGAGCACATATTAGCATTTTCTAGCACATTTTTCTCCTTGGTATGCCGACATCGCTAACTTCTTGGTTAGTGATCTTATTCCCGATGGATTGGAGACTTATTAAAAGAAAAAGTTCTTGCGGGAGTGTAGGCAATACTACTGGAAGGAACCCTTTTTGTTCCGAATTTGTGCTGACAACATCATTCGGCGTTGTGTTCCGGAAGATGAAGTAATGCCAATTCTCAAAGCATGCCATGATTCTCCGGTTAGGGGTCACCATGGAGGAAACCAGACAGCTGCAAAGGTGCTTGAATGTGGCTACTATTGGCCATCAATGTACCAAGACGCAAATCAAATGGTCAAGGCATGCGATCAATGTCAAAGACAAGGGTCAATATCTAAACGACATGAGATGCATATGAATTTTGTATTGGAGGTCGAGATCTTTGATGTGTGGGGAATAGAATTTATGGGCCCTATCGTGAGCTCTTATGGCATGACCTACATCTTGGTGGATGTATACTACGTCTCCAAATGGGTCAAGGCAATCGCCTTGCCTAACAATGAAGCAAGGAGTGTGACCGCATTCTTGAAGGAGAACATATTCACATGGTTTGGTACCCCAAGGGCCATCCTAAGTGATGGTGGTTCTCATTTCTGCAACAAGGCTTTCACCGGGCTACTTAAAAATTATGGTGTAAAGCACAAGGTGGCCACACCCTATCATCCTCAGTCGAGTGGTCAGGTTGAAGTTTCTAACAGGTAAATCAAAAACATCCTAGCTAAAATTGTCAATGCAAACAGGACCGATCGGTCAAGGGAGCTAGATGATGCGTTGTGGGCATATCGCACAGCATTTAAGACTCCCATTGGCACTTCACCGTACCGGTTGGTTTTTGGCAAAGCATGTCACTTGCCAGTGGAGCTTGAACACAAATCCATGTGGGCATTGAAGAAGTTGAATCTTGACTGGGCCGAGGCTGCTAATCTGAGAATGGCACAACTCAATGAGATGGAGGAATTCCGTCTCCATGCCTATGAGAGTGCAGCCATGTACAAGGAGAGAATGAAGTTTGTCCATGATAAGAAGATCTTGAAGCGGGAGTTCAATACTGGTGACTTGGTCATACTCTTCAATTCAAGGCTCAAGTTATTTCTGGGAAAACTCAAGTCCAAATGGTCTGGCCCGTTCAAAGTTGTGAGTGTGTCCCCCTATGGTGCTATTGAACTGGAGTCGGAGGATGGGACTCGAACTTTCAAGGTGAATGGTCAACGAGTGAAGAATTACCTTGGTACCACAGGAGAAAGGAATTTGATAGAACAATTTGCTCTAAGGGATAGTCCAACAGTAGTCCCCACCAATGAATAGCCCAAAAAGGGGTCAACTGTGTCGTGCCGCGACGTTAAATCAAGCGCTTCTTGGGAGGCAACCCAGTGTGGTAACACTCTTTTGTAGTTTTTTAAGTAGTTTAGATTGAGCAAGTTGACGTGTGTGCTAGAGTGCAGGTAGTCCCAAAATATCATGAACAAGATCCTAGTGCTAAGGAAACTGAAGGAAAGAAAGGTCCAGAATTAGCGACAACTATGCGGTCGCATAATGACTATAAGAACCGCATAGTCAACACAGACCCAGGCAGAGAAATTGGTTACTTGGGTGGTCAAATATGCAGTAAGCTTTACAATTATGCGGCCCGCATAATAACTTTGTAATCGCATATTGCATCGTAAAGTTAATTTATGTTGCCCAGTCATTAGTCCATCGCACAACACATATGCGGTCGCATAATGTGTTATGCGACGGACTTAAGCACCGCAAACTTAACAGGTACAAAACCCTAACCTTCCGCATTTGTCTTCCTCACTCTTATCACACACTCACGCTTAAACAAAAATCAAAAGAATAAAAATAGAATTTTACCTGCAAGGGAAGAAATCAGAAAAGATAAAAAAGAAATAGTACTCACCAAGCATATCGGGCTGCATAATGTTGTGAAACTCAGGTATGTTCTTTCTTCTCCCTCTCGTCATTGTGATGTATGTACCTTCCTGAATTCTGAGCTCAAATTGGTCACTCCCCTGATCCCTTGAATTCCCCCTAAACATGGTAGCATATTGGTGGGGTTTGGTTGAGTGACTGTGTGCGTATTGTTGATGCAACAGAAAGAGGGAAGTCTGAGTACCCCTTTCCCTCCTAAATCGTTTGATTGGACTGTGACCAAAAAGGGGGAAGTCTGATTACCCCTCTCTTATTGAAATTGAATAAATGGCAAAGAAATCTAAGTGGGTAGCAATATGAAAGCATGTAAAAAAAAGAAGTAGGGAGCACTATTTCGATGAAGAAAACGATCTTTGCGGGCCGCATAATTGGTTTGCGGTCTGCAAAGTTGTCGCATAAGACACCTAGGTGACCTAGTGCAAAAAGGGTTATGCGATTGCTTTTGCGATCGCAAACCGCTTATGCGGTTCGCATACTTGCCGCAAAGTGAGGCAGACAATATGACTTTCTGGTGTAAATAAATGCGACCACTTTGCGATCGTATAACCACATATGCGGTTGCTTTTGCAATCGCATAACCAGTTTTGCCTTTAATGCTATGCACATCTGCGATGGGTTTGCGGACCGTATAGTTGATATGCGATCGCATAACCCATCGCATGTTATGCTTACTTCTTTCCTTTGTCTGTTATGTATTTCCTATGCTATTTCACCCACTCACACAATGTTTCATCAACAGGAATGGCACCAAAAAAGTCTAATCCAACGCAATCACCGCCCGCTCATAGACGAAAAAGGGGTGCTATTCCTAGCCAACAAGCAAAACAAGCAAAATGTTAGCGGGCTCAGGCAATTTGCATTACTCCTGAGCACTCCTTCTAGTCTGAAGAGGAGTCACAGAGTGACCTCAGGCCTTATGATGATCTATAGGCTAAGGCACGAAGGAAGATGGGGGAGGATCTTAATCTCCAGTTTGAGGTCACAAGCTCCATAAATCTGTATAAAGAAGGGCTCTCAAAGCGAATGATTCTCGAGGAGAAGCAGTTGATTTTAAATGGGCTGCGGAGCACTACCCTCATATAATCGAGAACATCAAGCAGAGGAAATGGGAATTCTTCACTGAGGTACCTGATGA